TCAAGTTTAAAGTGATAGGACCAGAGTGTGTGAAGATATTGCTCAACAAAATCACAAAATTTTACAGAGGTTTGTTCATGCCCCCCACCATACAAACTTTGCCAGGCCTCACCTTGACTAGTTTTCAACAAATCACTTTCAAACTTGGCAACTTGACTGATTTGAAGGCATTCTTGCAGCCGTTTGTACTGATTTTCCCTGACTGGTCAGCAGTGTAAGGTTGAAACAAATTTTTGAAGTATTTGGGAAGTTGGAAGTTGCCTTAAATCAACATTTCGCATTGTGCCAGCTATTGCTGTCACAATGAAAGAGCCAGGACTGGCAGCCAAACAAAATCTTTTCATAGGACTTCTTGCCCCTCACCCTAAGAGACATTCAGTGGTGGCCAACAGGAATGACTGGCTTAATATGTGAAGTGTCACCTGAGATGTGTCCGTGTGTGTGTTTGTCTATTCTTCAGGGTTTTTTGTCTTGTATGTCCAGCATAATAGTTTGATTTTTTTAAACTGTTAATTATTGATTTTCCTTTGCTCCTAACTTAAGATTCATGATCATGAGTAATTAGGGTAAGAGACTCAAAAAAATATGGATAATCATCCCAGATAAAAAATTACATGATTATTTAATTCTGACCCACAATGTAGGCTGTTTTAAAATAATAATCAAGTGCAACCTGGCTTACATAAGTAACTCACATGTTATGTGAATTAGTTTATATGTGTAAGTCATGTTCCACCTGTATGAAGTGACTTGTGTTATATTGTGATTGCTAAGAAGTGAGAAACTGTAGAATTTTGTTCTCATTTCTTAGTAGTTATTGTACAATATAATGCAATTTACATGTGCTGCTTTGTGTGCTGCATGTATTTTAAAAGTCACCTGACTGCTAAATCTGATGCTGTTTTCAGGAGGTCACCATTGATGCTGGACAACTTACTGCAAAGCAATGTTTCATAATTTTATAATCCAGATACTGTATTTAATATCAGAGAAAGTTGTTGGGTGAAATTTGTTCTACTGTGCGGAAGAAACTGTGTGGTCTATGTTACTACTTTGTATATGGATTTCAACTTGTGAGCTAACATTGCTGTATTTGACAGTTATTTTTTTTCCTTGAGTAAAATGGCTTTGATTGATGTGTGTGTGTGTTTTTTGGATTTAATTAGGTTGACAAAAGTTTGGGTGCCCAAAAGAGGCATTGGGTCATGTGTTTCTTGTTGACCACCTTCCCAAATGCCCTGGCCTAGCCCCCCACCCTCTGTCAAACTTTCTGACCAGACCCTGGTTCTTCACTAAATGCTGTACAGTGCTATCCACCGGATAAACCATTATCCAGTGGATAAGTACTATGGAAACCAACTGTATTA